TCCCGGACCTTGGGTCGGGGTCCAGCTTCCCTCCCTTCCCCACCTGCTGCTTTGGGCCTGGGCTAGTTCCCCCCCTTCCCCCGTCATTTTGGGTCTGGTTCCCCTCCCGTTGCTTCGGGTGCAGGTCTGTGTGCCCCCCAGACCCCCTGCCTCCCACGACTGGGGTGAGAGGCGAGGCACTCGCATACAGCATTGGGTGGTGACCGGGGCCAGTGGCAGCGGGGGCTGTGGTATGGCGCAGCGTGGTGGCTGGCAGCCACATGCTGCCACGGGTGACCCCCTGCTCGCCTTTCCCTTCCCACACCCCTCCCTCCCTCCCTTCTTTCTTCCCTGCCTCCTCCCCCTCCCTGCCAGCTGTTGTTTGGGGGGCCCCGCTTCGGCCCTCCACTACAGCCCCTCAGTTCCCACTGTCATGGCAGCATTCCACTGTGTGTCTGTCTGTTGGAGCACTCTGGCTGCTGAGACAACCAAGCACAGTGCGAATAAAGCATTATGGATAGACAGACAGACAGACTAAGGCTTTTATAATATTAGAATTTGTTGAATTGTTCACAGCTACCAAATCAAGTGGTACAAGTAAAATCTAACTTGTACAAATATTTGGCTAGGCTTCTGTTAATACAGAAAACACTAAAGAAAGTTTCAGTACGAAATGTAGTTGTACACGTCAGTATGTTCATGTCAGAGGTCACCCTTAATTTTGTACCATGCGCTCTAACTAGGACTTGCAAAACAGCAGTGTTGGGGGGGAATGTGGGTTTTGTGTGTTTTTGTTAGTATATTATACTTCAAGAAAGTCGTACTTGGTTTAAAGACAGTCTTAAAGATGTCTATAAGTTAGTCCTTAAAATTAGTAGATCTAAATGCTCATCCAAATGTAACCCTCAATATATCCCTTGAATGAAATAACTTAAACATGTTTAGGTACCAGGCAGTGCCCAAATCTAGGTATGGATAATGGGTATGTAATCTAGACAGAAACAGGTTGTTGTACACAGTACATGACTGTCTTCTCCCCCACACCTCTATTGTTCTCTGCTTAATTAAAGTGTAGTGTACTTTTATTATACTGTATCAGTAAAAGGTTTTTTCTTGTTAACAGGCAAAGCGAAGGCTGGAGCTAGGAGAGGGTGGTCACCAATATCTTGCTGAAGGATTAAAAACCCCAAAAGGGAAAGGAAGAGCTGCAACAAGAAGTCCAGATAGTCCAAAAAGTAAGAGAACTTTTTGTTAGGCTCTATGGTGTAGAATTTTCAACAGCTTCTTTGAGATGCCTAAAGGGATTTTGTACTTTATAACTTGCTGCCCTTTTCCTAAAAGATGCTTAGGAACATTAATCTGAATGAACTAATGTTGTGAATTTAAAGTGTATTACTTGAAACTCATTTAACCAATTTGGCTGAAGGAAAATCAAATTAAGGCCACTTCAATTTAGTGTTCACTCAGGGGTTTAATGAACTCTAAATCCGCTGTAAATTCACAGACCTTTGATTCAGATTAAATTTCTAGCATATTCTAGTAGAGAGATTTCCTATGGAAATCTGCCAAAGGATTTAAGGCCAAGTAGTCTCCTTCTGTAAATGAGTAGCTGAATATAGCTCTAGAGCATGGGGAGTTTTGATGAACTATTTTGGGTCAAGTCAGCAGCTTCCCTCCACTCCCAAAACTCCCTGTGGGGCTGTGGGTGGGGAACGGTGTTCAGGAACAGGAGGGGTGGGTGAGACTGGGATCACAGGGCTGGGTCGCAGAGCGGTGATAGCTCCGACCCGGGGCCTGCTCCCTACATGCCCCTGCTCTCTGGGGTTGGAGTTCGGGGGTTTGTGGGGTGAGGGGCATGTGCGTATGTGTGTGGGAGGGGGGATGTCTGGATGCTAGGTCCCAGGAGCCTGTTGTGGGTGAGAGGAGAGGGGCCAGGGGCATACAGTAGAGCTCGCCCAGGCAGTGTGGTCTGTGTTGCTCCTACAGCACTCCGCATGGGGCCAAGCCCTGCCCACTCACACTGGGGCAGCCCATGCTGCACTCCTGATAGTCCGTACAGCCCAGCTTGGCTGGGTGCTGTTCTGTTCCCCCTGCCTCCTTATCTTGCCCCCCTGCAGTGCCATGCCACACTGTTCCCAATGGGCAGGCAGCTGCAGCCAAGCAGCTTCTGCCCCAGCATGCGGGGCTCCAGTTTCCGGGAAGGTGGCTGGGAGCTAAAGCTAGAGCCTCACGTGCTGGGGCAGAAGCCACCCAACTGAAGCTGCCTGCACAGCATGGCAAGCACAGGGGTAGGAGCAGGAGCAGCTTCTGGCAGGGCTGTTCCTAGTGTGGCTGCAGCTGGCTGGGTGCTGCTCTGAGCCCCCTGCCTCCAGTGGTAGCTCCTGCTCCTACCTCTGCCACGTTGTACCATGCCACTCCTGGTGGGTAGGCGGGCAGTTTCAGCTGGGCAGCTCCTGCCCCAGCATGCAGGGCTCTGTCTTCAACTGCGGTGCCTTGAGATCCTTTCGTGGGTGCCATGGGGTTCTATGCAATGTTAGCAGTGTTGGGGATGCAACCATCATTTACAAGATGAAACCCAGCAATTTCAAATAGAAATCCATAGTGTAAAAAAAATGTTCAGACCTGTTGTGATCCTTCTGAATTATTTTCAGCAGAATTACTTTATTATTTTTCTGTAGTCAAAAATCAAATGAAAGCTAAGAGCTGGGATTTTCTAAGGGGTGCCATTAGACTCAAGGCACGCCTTGATGGACTCAAAAGCTTAAGAACCATTAGGTTAAAGAGATCCCTTACAAGTTTAATAAGAATCTCATCTGATTCAGTTCGGTCTCTGGGACTCAGAAACTCTCATTTGATGTGCCCACTGAAAGGCGCCAACTGTACATTAAACCCATTAATTATTATCTTACAACGGGGAAACTCAAACCACGAAGAAAACTGACTGGCAGCTTGACAAAGGAGAGAGCTGCAGGAGGATAAACAGTGTTGCTGCCAAGATAATCAGATATAAAAACCCTATTGAAAAATCAAATAACAATATTTTGCATAGACTTGGAAACATTCACTATGTTTTTATCCATTGGGCTAATTTGAGGATTTTTAATTTTTTTGTCCATGTATCTTGGTATTTGGAGAAGTACGTCTTAAAATCCAACCAGATGTCCAGTGGCAGTAAAAGTTTAAGAGTGTTCTTTGCTAAAACATGCAAGAAATCTCTGGAAAACATATTATTGCTTCGGAGGCCACCTTTGGAACCAAGATGAGAGAGTCGATTTGATAAACTCTTCTCTTTTTTTCTTTTTATTTATTTATTTTTTATCAAGCCCCAAAATCTCCTTCAGAAAAGACTCGGTATGATACATCACTTGGTCTTCTTACAAAGAAATTCATTCAGCTGCTGAGCCAGTCTCCAGATGGGGTCTTGGATTTGAACAGAGCAGCAGAGGTCCTCAAGGTGCAAAAAAGGAGGATTTATGATATCACCAATGTATTGGAAGGCATCCATCTCATTAAGAAAAAATCCAAAAACAACATTCAGTGGATGTGAGTATTCACCATCCTTTTCCGTTCCTCCTGGATGATTGCACTGTCATAAAGCATCAGTGCTTCCCCTGTCTTGGGTCTTGCCCTTGCCCTCCAGCTCCCAGCAATCATCCAAGAGGCCTTCTACCAGGAGAAAAGCCTTTTTATGTTAATTACTTGATTGCTTTTTAATATCTGATATGCCTCTAGTAAGGAAATTCAGGTATGCCACTAGATAGAAACCAGAATTCGTTCTGAATGTTGGTTTATTATGGTTCTGTGTGTGTAAAAGTTTTCTTCTTGGCTGTTTTTGTGGAATACAGAGTAGAATTTTGTAAGTATACAGAAATGCTAACATTTTTCCATGTTCATGACTCATTCACTATGTGTTGATAAGCCATAATTACTGAATATTGCCTTTGTTATGTTTCAAAATATATTTTAATTTTAAAGCAATATCTTCTCTGGAAAGCCTGGTTTATATTGGCAGGCCTTAAGCAGTTTTAGGGGTGGAGACTGTACTAATCAAGGTGTATCATTCCAAGTCCTACCTTTCCCTCAGGCACCTTCCCTCCCATAGTATAGCATCAAGTTCTTTGAATGTTTATGAGGAGTCTGTATTCTTTGATCTGTAGGGGCTGCAGTCTGTCTGATGACGGGGGCATGCTGGCACAATGTCAAGGCCTGTCAAAGGAGGTGACTGAACTCAATCAGGAAGAGAAGAAACTGGATGAATTAATCCAAAGCTGCACCCTGGACCTCAAGCTGCTAACAGAGGATTCAGAGAATCAGAGATATCCTTTATTCTCACAATTTCTAGAGAAGGCCATTCTTTTTTGTCCTCTCCAGACAGGCTGGGAGGACACTTTAAAGCAGAAAAGAGTGACACAAAGCATCACAAGTTCATGCCAAAAGAATTTACTGTGGCTTAGTGCAGATGTATACAAAAAGTCACTTACAGTCATTATAAATTTATACATTTAGCATTTCTGAAGTATAAGAAATGTTGGCATATGGAGAGGTCCTGAAATATCCATGTTCACATAAAGTAGGGCCAAGAATTCAGCTGTTTAATATGTGTGCAGTGAAGCCAAAATGTTTCACTAAGTAAAAGCATGTCCTTTAAAACACTGCTCTTGCTGGACTATTCAGAACCCAAAGCCAAACCCATTTTTTTTGCAAAAATAAGCAGACTTTATGTATGTTTTCAAATTCTGGTGCTTGCATGTGTTCATTGCTTAATGTATGCACAAATACAAAAGAAAATATATTTATACTTTTCAAAAGCTATAAGGGATTGAACACTAGGAAGGCAAGGTTGGAACTTCAGTTTGAAACTTACTGCGTTGTTCCCTGCCCATACTAATACATGCTCCATAAATATCTAGGATAGATATACTTTAAAATACATTCTTAACTTTAATAGCAATAGTGAGTTGGGGAAGATTTATATGAATTCCTTGTATTTGTACAGCTGTTACCTGTAAATTAACCACTTCTTATGTTTTCTACCATTTTCATACATATGTAAAGGATCTTAATTGCATATGGTGTACTTAAAATAAGTCTATACTTTAAACTTTACGGCAACAGTACATGAGAGAGCTGGATTTATTTCCTGTTCTAAGGAAAGCAAATAATGGTGGTGTTTCGTATCATTGTGGTTAACTCTGTAAATCTTGACTTGGTAACCAGGCACTCTGTACAGAAAGACCCACAATTGGAAAAGGCATTTGATCTGTAAATTGAGGGTTGGGAATTATTCCATGATCTAAAGCAGCAGCACTGCTGTAGATGAGAGCTTAGAACCATAAAGGGATTTAGTCCCGAATGTTGCAACACCTAATCTTTAGGCTACATTTCCTGCAGTGGACTCCACAGTTCTGAGTTAGACACTTAAGGCCTGGGGATAGTTAAGTGCCTCTGAATGGGAGTCTCAGCAACCAGGCTGCTAAATAGGAAGCTGCCAGTGGTGGCCAGTAGGGAACATAGAAGGGAGGATTATGTCTTCAGTCCCGCCTTTCATGTGGTTTTAAGTGCTGAACTCTCAGTTGCAGGGAAGTGCCCATGATGGAGAATCATAAAGCTGGCAGGGACCTTGGAGGTCATCTGGCCCAACCTCTTGCACATTTGCAGGATGTGCTATTCCCAAACCATCTTGGATAAATGACTGTCCAGCCCCTTCTGGAAAACTTGCAATGGTGAAATGCTACACGTGGCTGAGCAGCTTGCCCCATTGTTCTTGTTTCTTGTGGATGGAAAGGTTGGAGTTCACAGCCCCAAACCTTCTCCTGGATTTAGGTGCCTAACTCAGTCCTTTCAAAAGACCAGGGGTTAGTTGGTTTTGATTTTGCATCTGGCCTTGTTAATTGGTTTTGTGTTTATTAGACTAGTAGTGGTGTCCTTCTTTATGCAGTATCCTTGCAGTTACAGTACTCTCCCGAAAGATCTGGTCTCTGTCCTCAACCTTGAAGGGGCTGATACCCATACCTCCCCCTTCACTGGCAAGTGCCCTGGCCACCGGACTTCCAGTTGGGCTGATGTGGAATTCTTACATATGTTATCTTATTGCTGATCTGGTTCCATATTTTACATTTAGGAAGTAGGGTTCAGAACCCAGGACTCCTGTCTTTTCAGCTGAGTGCCATTAACACTGGGCTGCCAAGTCTTGCTTTCTCTTTCTGATCCAATGAATCTGGAATTTTTTTTCTGCAAACTGGAATAGTTTCATTAGGAGGCAGCAGTGCCCCACCCCAGCCTTATTTTAGTCTACTCTGGTAGATGGAGGAATTGCCAGGGAGGTGTAGGAGATGTTGGTTTGTACCCCCTGATGAGGACATGGAAATAGGATCTCTCTCATCCTGGGTGGATGCTGTAGCCACTAGGCTAGTGGACAGAAGAGGGACGTAACTGTTAGCACTGCTTTTGAAAGAATGTGGCTTTGGCTGCTGTGTCTTTTGCAGTACGCATTCATGGAAGTGTGCTCTGAGAACACCTACCAGACTGTGCCCCCTGGAGGATGTCAGTGAAGGAATAATTTACCAAGAATTCCTGGACACTAGGGCTGTGTGAAGCTTCGGCAGCCGATTCGATTCGGAGGAGATTCGGCGGCCAAATCTCCAAATCGAATCGGAGACCAATTAAAAGATCCAAATAGAATCAGAAGCCTCTGAATCGATTTGGAAAAGATTTGGCACCAATTCGGAGATTCAGCAATAGACTAAATAGGCAGCAGTCCTCACCATGGTGGACACGGCTGTCTCCAGCTGGTAAGTCTGTTGTGGGCAGAGTGGGGAGGGAAGGGGCATGGGGGGACAGATCAATGCCCCCACAGCAAGGGAGGGATTGGGGTTGGGGCTGGAACAAGCTGCCCAGCTGGGGTGGGGGGGTGCGGGACTAAGGGAGGGGGGCTCCCACCACTGTGCGCCACCGGTCCAGGAGGGCATGGGAGCAGGCGTATGCCCCCGGATCTGTGCAGGGCAGGCTGGTCCAGGGTGCACTCCAGGAAGCTAACCCCAGCCTCCCGCCCCTGGGGCTGTGCTTCTTGGGGCGGGTGGAGCCAGGGCTGTGCTTCAGGCTGTGGCTGGGGCTAGCCACCCAGAGTGCAGCCCTGGCTCTGCCCGTCCTGCACAGGGCAGTGGAGTGGGGCCTATGGGGGGCCTGCAGCCACCCTAAAATTCCCCATTGGGCCTGCTGCTGGCCCCTCCTCAATTCAAGTGCACATGCCCACTGCCATGCCCTGCTGCTGTTTGCCCAGCTTGTCCAGGAGGTGCAGGGAGGCTGGGCAAGCAGTGGGAGGGCATCGCTTCCGCTCCCAGCGCCTTCCGCCACCCGTCCGAAGTATAGACCACCTGTCCGAAGTACAGCCCTGGCATGTGCCCCTGTGCGTAGATCCAGGGGCACATACCTGCTCCCATGCCCTCCTGGACCAGTGGCGTGGGCAGTGGTGGGAGCCCTTCCCTCCCCCTTCCACCCACCGCAACAGACTTGCCAGCTGGAGGCAACTGTGTCCAGCGTGGTGAGGACTGCTGCCTGTTTAGTCTATGGCCGAATCTTTGGATCAGAATTGGCCGAATCAAATCAGGAAAGTGATTTGAATCGCCAAATTGAATCACTGTCCCTGCGAATTGGCCAAATTTGAATCTAAAGCGAATATTTGCCACTTCGCACAGGCCTACTGGACATTTGCTAGTATGAGGCACTAAGGTGCTCAGCCCTGCCAGGATGGTGTGCCAGTTCTGGGCTCATGCAGAAACAGAACTTGAGGCCTTCAGGGAAATTACTGACAAAATATGTGTGTGCCTGCAAATCTAAGGTGTCCAAAGATTGGCAAGGCAAGGTTCTTTGGGTAGATGTGATGTCTTTTACTAGACCAACTAAATAGTTGGAAAAAAATAGTTCTTTGCAAGCTTTTGGGCACAAATGCCCTTCTTCATGCATAGGGAGATTGGGAAGGGGTTTTGAGGATCTCACTCATGGAATTATGTGCCTAAATTCCAACCTAAGCTCCTCCATGAATTCATGGACCTATAGATTTTTAGGGTCAGAAGGGACTTTAGTAGATCATTGAGTCAGACCCCCAGCCCTGGGCAGGAAAGAGTGCTGGGGTTAGGTGACCCCAGCTAGGTGCTTGTCTAGTCTCCTCTTAAAGACCTCCATGGTAGGGGAAAGTATCACCTCCCTTGGAAGCTCATTGCAGATTTTGGCAACCCTGATGGTAAAGAATTTTTTCCTGATGTCTAATCTAAATCTGCTCTCCATCAGTTTATGGCCGTTGTTCCTAGTAACCCCAAGGGGTGCCCTGGTAAACATTGTCACCTGTTCTTTGCTGCTCCCCACCCCGATGAATTTGTAGATGGCCACAAGATCCCCTCTCAGCCTTCTTTTGCGGAGGCTGAAGAGATTCAGGTCCCTCAATATGTCCTTGTAGGATCTTACCTGCAGGCCCTTAACCATATGAGTAGCCCTCCTCTAGACCCTCTCAAGGTTATCCACATCCCTCTTGAAGTGCAGTGCCCAGAGCTAGACGTAGTACTCCAGCTGCGGTCTTACCAATGCTGCATAGAGGGGAAGTATCACCTCCTTAGACCTGTTCGCAATGCACTTTCTCATGCATGAAAGAGCGCACGGTTGGCCTTACTTATCACTTTGTTACATTGATGACTGGTGTTCATTTTGGAGTCGACTGTGACTCGGAGAT